TGTCTCAGATTTTAATGGACCTATCCTTTCCCTAGTCTTAGTTCGATATAACTGAAAAAAACCTTTAGGATTTGACTTTGCTTGCTCTGCTATGCGAACTTCATAGTTTCTTTTTGCTTTCCTAATCTCTTTTTTAACATTTCTAACCAGTTGTATGAATTCCTGTTCTAAATTGACTTCCCCATTCTTAATCCTTTTGTACCAAGCTCTCTTTTTACCTATAAGGTTCTTTAAATTATTTGTTATCCACTTTGGGTCATTAGTATTCGATCTATTCAATTTGTATGGTATACTACGTTCCTGTGCTTTGTTTAGAATATTCTTAAATAAGTTATATATTAAATCCACATCGAAATCCCCTTTTACGTCACCTATCGCTGGGTTCATGTCTCGCTCCAAGACCGGCCCACACCCCATACCCAAGACTTTCCAATCTATTTGACCCAAAAAATTTCTTAGGCTATTAAAATCAGCTTTTCGAAAATCTGGCACTTTAACAGAATTTTCTCCTACAGGTCTATTCCATTCTATGCTAAATCTGATTACTTTGTGATCACTGTTCCCTAGCTCACTCCCTATTTCGATGTCATTAATTTGTGTTTCCCTGTTAGTTAACACTAAATCTAAAATATTATTTTCCCGCGTTGGTTCCTTAATGTGTTGCGTAAGAAAGCAATCGTCAATTAATTCTAGAAAATCTTCTGCTTCACTATTCCCTGTTTTGTTCACCCAGTTTATTCCACTAAAATTAAAGTCACCCATGACATAAATACTGTTAGATCTAGATGCTCTAGATATTTCATTCCATAGATGCTTTGCTTCCATTCTGTCTAAATTTGGTGGCCTATATATAACTCCTATTATAATATTATTTGCTTTTTCGTTTAATTCTATCCAAATAGTTTCTGTGTGTGGCTCAGTTTTGATTCCCTCTTTGAGACTACATTTCAAATTGTCCCTAACATATATGGCTACTCCCCCTCCTCGTCTAATATATCTATCTGTGTGAAATAGTTTAAATCCATTTATTTGATATTCAGCTAATAGTTCTCTATTTTCTACATTCATCCACGTTTCGGTAAGTGCAATAATATCTATTTTTTCTGTGCAGACAAGAGCATTTAATTCGTTAATTTTATTTCTTAGACTTCTACTGTTAGTGTAATATACCCTAAGTGAATTGTTATTTTGAGGCCCTTTTCTTTCCCTGATCATTTTGCCAATTCTTTTCTCCCACGAACACATACTTTTATTACCTCCTTCCTCCAAATCAATTCCCATACCACTATCTACTAACAGTTTAAACCCAAACAAACACCTCTAACCACTGGTTCCAACGAGTTCGCAACAGCAACAACCCCAGCCCTCGATAGATGCACCCCATCACGAGCATACATTTCATTTCTTCCATAGAAGTGTTCCCAGTTGTCTATGAAAGATATTGCATTTGATTTGCAATATCTTTCCAGCCGGCAATTGACACCAAGTGCCCTCGACATCCATTCTGCACTAATACAAATAATGGGTTTGTTCCCATTTCCCGTCATAATATCATTCATGTTTCCAACAATATCACCAATTCCAGCTCCCGGATAGCAAACCCTTAATCTGTTCCCCCTATCTCTGGCACAAAACGTTCTGTCTAAATACCTCACCTGGGAATCTCCCACAACCAAAATTCGCTTCGATTCTCCCTTTTCCTTTCGAGCAGTTTGACGGACCTGCGCTTCAATGCTCCTCGTTGCTTTGCCTCCTCTTTGAACAGGTTCACCACAGCACTCGTCCTCTAATACGTTGAATGCGTTAAAAGTCCTAGAAGTACATACACAGTAAATACAGTAAAAGTAAATACACAGCCCCTATGGTGGGAACCGACCTGTGAGATTTATATTTATTTAATTTATATGAATTTATATTTACGTTAATTTATATACTTCGATAGCAATTTGTATAATAATGAGTGGACTGTATTTCTGCAATAATCTCATAATCTCACAAATCGATCCTCTACACATTAGGGGGGGGTTATTAAATTAATATATATGCAGCCAATCAAACTACAGTAACTACATACATTGAAGAGGTTCCTTATCTTATAGTACAGCAGGTTAGTCCACCAGGTATAACTAGGGTGTAGACACCAAATTATCCTCTTTGAGGTAGCTTCCATATCACCCAGTAACTGGTGCACAAATCTTGCTTCCTCGTCTTGACCTGTCAAAAGTGCGCTAGCTGTGAAGCCAGAATCCTATATATGACAAGTATTTCAGAGAAAACTGTACATGGAACATGAAGACCTGGCTTAATTACCTTTAGTTTGAGGCTTCCACGTGCTCTAACCGGGTCACCCTATATAATGACATTAATGGCCATAAATGAAAGATACATGGGTTTCGGAAAGAACACTTAACTTGAATTGTAGACATCGTGTTGGAGATGGTACCTTTGGTTTCCATAACACTACGTCCAAGTAAAATTAACAGGAGCCGAATTTGCTCCCGTGTCAGCAGAATCTCAGACTCCCGGGATTCACCAGTCTCTCCTTGGTCCCACAGAGGACCAGCAATGCCCACCACCGCAGGGCTTTGCTTCCACCACTGAAGGGGGTGTCACTGATTCACCCTGGAAGCCCTTCAGTCAACCACGGGGAAAATGCTATCAGCAGTTCCGGCCTAGACCCGTGGAGGAGTGAAGGAAGACTCGGGCTTGCCTTATAACAATAAATTCTCCCCAGAGTCTTGCCTGCCAGACAAAAAGGTTGCAGGAACTCCTTTCCCGCCTGCCTTCTCTATCTTCTTCTTAACAAGGTCGCCAGCTGGGTTAGTATATCTGCACCCCAGCGATGCAGTTCAGTGGGGGTATTCTATACTGTTTGTTGCCAGAGTGTTGCTACTCCCATAGATCTGCTATTGGACTGTCGGCCCAGGGTACTCTCCCATAAAAGTCTGTGTGGCTTTACCTCTCTCCAGCCACTACGTTACCTATTGCCACCAGTCAGGCTCTGATACCAGCCGGATGGCTAAGGGTACACTCTTATATAAGTCTGTGCTGCTTTACCACTTTTCAGACGATAAGAACTTCTATAGAGAATGCGACGTTCCCTAGGTGGTACTATGATAACCCTCGTGTATGCTCATACAGAAATATTATAATGGAGGCACACTTAAACACAATGGTAAAATGTGTGAATTTACCGACACAAATTACATGATCACACATACAATCACAAGCAATACATGAAAATGAAAATAAGGATAAAAAAATCTGGAGATCTTCAGCAGCTCTTCTTTCACGACCTCCAACCACTCCTTCAACTGGGCAGATTAGACAGGAGTCACACTCTCACAGAAGGGCCTCTTCACCAAGTCAGCACCTCTTCTTCAACTGTCCTGCCATCCACACACTCTCTCCAACAGTCCTGGACACAAGCTGCCCTGCAGCCTATTCTACTACTAAAGTATTAATGTCATACTGCCACATACATAAGTAAATATTGTGGCCTATCTAGCCTACTCACACAAGGGGTAATGGGAGGGAAAAATTGATCTACCTTACATTCCTGGCTCACGACGCCTGTCCCTCGATGGTGTGAGGTTCCCACGCTTCCAGAGTCGATCCTTGACGATCCAGGAACGTTCCACAGGTCCTCAGGTGACGTGAAACCTTCGCGTCGTCGCCGTTCCAATCAGAGATTCAGCTATCTCAATCCTGGTTCACCAATAGGCACTGAGCTAATCACTATTCACACACTCGTCCCTTCCACAAGGCATTGATCCTCGTCCTAGGAACGGTGTCGTCCCTCCAAAACCCTCAGTGGATATGACCCAGTCACAGCTAGGCCTGCCCGCCGCACCTTCCAGACCTCAACATCCAGCGGCGCCGCCCAGCGTCGTCGCCGACTATTTTCCAAGTTTGGCACTCATTTGCTCAATGAACTTGGTTCCTTTTTGCTTCCCAGAAGCGCAGGGTCTCCAATAGCTTATGGTGGGCTGCGATGGCTAGTTTAATCCACTGAATAAGGCTTGTACAGCCTCAATTCCTCGAGCTGACAGAGGTGCGTCCTCTCACCTCCACAGTCAGGTCAACTCTGACGTTGGCGCTGCCCGGGGCACTCGGTGACGTCACGACGGGCTCTGATTGGTAGCCCGTGACCCACGCCACCCAATCCGCACACGGCTAGCCTTTTCTACAAAAAGGCGGATCTGCAGGTAGGGGGTACTCTTTCATTTATATCAGGGCGCCACTTTCCCCTTACCTACAACTTATGTAAATTTCTCCCTTATCTGGTGGCCGGTCTGGTCGCCACATATATCAAGACTCCCTTGTACCTCAGAGAATCAGTAGGGAGAGCTGATAAGACTCTTAAAGCAGGCAAACGAAAGAAATAGGAGAGGGCACCGTAACAACGTATAGCTCAAATTTCGAGTAACTTGCAGCAAGTGGGAATATCCCTTTGCTGCCAGGGCAGCAGCCAGTGGTTTGTGGCTGGTGAGGACGTGGAAGTCACATACCTTGAGAAAATGCCTGAAGTATTGAATGGCAGCATATATAGCAAGGAGTTCCCTGTAAAAAAAAAGGCACTACGGGTTCACCATAGCCCGTGCTACTTTGAACTTTTTGTTCCAGGTAGCGAATCTTTAACAATAATAATCCCTGTCAAATGGACTGGTAGCAATCCTGTCAAATAGGCTGTATTTTGTCTGCTGGCATTAAGCTTGCTGAAAAGAAAGCATTGGGTCGCCAGGTGTCGTCGATAAATTGGAGTACTGCTCCTATAGCAGTGTTGGAGGCATTTGTTGAGAGGCTAGTTGGCACATCGAATACTGGATGGGCGTGGAGAGAGAGTTGAGCTAGCGCCTGCTTAAGGTTGGTGAATGCCACCTCTGCCTCTGGTGACCATAGCAGGGGTACTTTGGACGCCTGCTTACACCCACACAAGAAGTCATATACAGGTTTCAGGATGTGAGAACAGTGTGGGTTAAACCTATGATAAAAATTACCCACTCCCAGGAATTCTTCTAGCTTCTTAGTTGTGGTGGGTGTTGGAAAATCTCGAATAGCCTCGATCTTCTCCAGTGGAAGAATACCTGTGGAAGACACTTCGCGTCACAAGAAGTTGAGCTTGGAAACCTTGAATATGCATTTCTCCAGATTAATCTGTAGGCCATAGTCGCAGAGGCGAGTAAAAAGTATACGAAGATGCTTCCAATGGTCAGCCGGAGAGCAACTCGCTATTAGGTCATCAATGTAGGCATAGCGGAAGGGTAGGTCTTTGACGACCTGATATAATGAAGCGTTGGAATGTCTGAGCTGCCTTATGGAGACCAAATTGCATCCTAATAAATTCAAACAAGCCAAACGGTGTTGTAATTTCATTTTGGGTATGTCCACTGGCTCCACTGGGATTTGGTTAAATGCTCGCACCAAATATACTTTAAAGAATGTTGTTGCCCCATGTAGCATGCAGGGTTGCCAGAACCAAATTGCTGAAAGTAGCAATTTCTGACGGTCTAAAAGTAGCGAATTTGTAATAAGAGTAGCCCAATTTTTTTAGTGGCTGAAACGGGTTTCAAAGTAATATTTTGATATATAGAGTACATTACACGATTTTAAGTTTTATTAATATTATCTCTGCATTTATATATATATATATATATATATAAAAATGTTAATAGGATAACATACCAATATTTACTGTATGAAGCATAATGGGTGAGGAGTCCTTCTACGTCTTCACAGTTGAAGATTATCAAGAAGATCGTCTGGATTTGCATCCACAACCTCGTTCTTGTATACTGCACTCATATTTAAGCATTGACACGAGTGGTTCAAATGTCGAGCAAAAAGTTCCGTTTTCTTAAAGATATGTTTTGATTCTCAAGATTGATGTCAAAAGCTCGAGTCCCATTCGATTTCTGTTTAGTTTTCACATATGTTGTTCTCGAAAATACCCGTTCAACAAGGGCATTACTGATTGGCAAGCTGTATATTTTCAATGCAAACTCGGTGAGGTATGGGATCGCCAGCAGCATTCTTAAGTTATTGGCTTGGTCTAAAAGGACGATCCAGATGTTGGAATTTGTCCCTCAAAAATGTTTGACCAGTCAATGGTTAACAGTATGCGCCACGGACTTTCAATTTCACTAAGCTTCGATTGGTCAGAAAGTACTAATGGAAGTTCTGAAAATGGTGGCCGTGTGTGGCTAAGGCATATAATAGGTGAGATTTTTCACCTTTCTTAGTTTCAAAGTTACTTCGAATACGAGAAAGAAGCTATTTGCAAGCTTTAACTAAAAAAATATGCCATCTCTCTTGAATATTTTGAAAGTTTTCCTGGGTTATAATATTTTGTCAGTTACTTGCCAGAAGTGTTGAAAATTCGTTACCAAAGTTCACTTTCTCCAAGAGCAGATATATAGAATTGTAGTTGAAATTAACATGAAGCTTTACATGATAAAGATGCACGATTCTTCTGAGCATTCCAAAAGTGAAGTTTTCAGACATCGTGAAGGCTACAGTGATCTGCTTCATCTTTTTGATAGTCAATTCATCCTTTCAAAATAATTTAGGATTGGTTTGATACATGTGAAATATAGCTTATTGGAGGGATCACGGTACATTGAAAATAGTTGCCTTGCAACATATCACAAGGGGGAAAAAAACTATTTGGTAATGTTGTTAAAGAATCCCACTGATCTAACAGCCGCTTTACACTACCGCTCCTTACCAACCATCGTCTTCCTGATAGGTATTAACTGTATGGGATCTTTCCCATCACTTATCAATCTGTAATTTTCTAGATAACTTTCTCTCCGTAATGAAGATCTGTGGAACCAGTCGTAGCTTTTGGGATGAAGTATTAATGACAACTAAGGTTGGGAAATCTATGGCCCCTTAGGAGGATTACCTTGCCTTGGTTACTTTTTCTTTCGAAGGTTCTAGGATCAATGTCCGCAGGGGGCTGGTCTCTGACCAGGCCTCCTGCGGTAAGTGGTCTAGTCAATCAGGCTGCTGGACGGGGCTGTGATTTGTACACATCATCTTATAAAAGCATAAATAATCATCATTGAGTTTCTTAATATTAATAGCCCAAATTAGCCAAATTTGCTTCTAAATTAGCCCAAAAAGTCGCAGGTAGTGAAATTTAAAATTTGGGAGCACGGAGGCTCTCAAAAGTAGCCCAATTGGCTACTTGTAGCCCAATCTGGCATCCCTGGTAGCATAATAGAAATATCTTAAATGTGTGGGATTGTGTAACTGTCTGGCAGGGTGTGAACATTTAGCACCCTGTAGTCCCCACAGGGACGCCATTCTCCTGGAGTTGTCTTCAGAACCATATGCAGTGGAGATGCCCAGGCACTGTCAGAGCGTTGGACAATACCAGCAGCTAACAGCTTGTCAAATTCGCCCTTGGCCACCTGGACACACTCTGGCGGCAGTCAGCGCGGTAGAGTGTAGGTTGGTGGGCCTGAGGTACGAATATGATGGGTGACTGTATGCTTAACCTTGTCATTTGGCAGCTGTGGCTTGATGTCCTCAAATTCCTCCAGAAGGTTCTGCGGGTTAGTTATGCGGAGCATGGCTAGTGAGTAGCCGTTGCTCTGTACTCGCCCACTGGAACTTGCCACACGTCACATCCACAAAGAGGTTGTGATAGCAAAAGAAATTGTCCCCAGTATATGCATGTTAACTTCAGCAACGCGGAACGTCCATATGAAGCGACCAAGGTCAGCAAAATAGTGACCACACTATTGCCGTAAGTACGTATGACAGAACCGTTGGCAGCAACCATGTCGTGGTGTGGAGTGCGAGGTGGCTTGTGTGCTGGAGGCGGGAGAACAAACTGAAGCACCCCATGTCAACCAGGTAACGGAGCCGGAAGGTAAAATTGACCATATATAAGTAAATCATCCAAGGCGGCACAGTTGCTAGCCGTTGAGACTCCGCCGGAACAGTTTCCCGAATAAGCACACGGCTGGCGGATGTTCCGGGATCTAGCCCCATATCTGCGATGTTGGTAGCAGTCTGGGCTGGAGTCGACCATCGAGGACGGGCTGCGGGACTTGAACTGGGAATGTTGGCGGCTCTGAATAACACTGAGGTGTTGGCTGTTCATTTGGATCATCACTGTCGAGTGGTCAGAGGCAAGCGCATTTCCTGATCAGGGCGAGTTGCCTGGTGCACTATGGATTCGGTCTTCAATTTTTGCCAGGCTATGGTGTCACGTTGTCGCTCTGGGCAAGGCGTAGCATGCGAATGTGTAAGGGCAAGCGTTGTAGGAACAGAACCCGGAACTGGTCATTGTCACAGGCTCCACTCGCCGGCCGTAGCAAGAGCTGCATTTGCTGAAGCATTTGGGATGGTGTCCGATCCCCGAGGCTGCAATAGCTACTACTGGTGAGGAGCAGGTCACGCTGGCGGCGGTTTGGCACCAGCCAAACAACTTGGTTGCAGCGAGTAGAGCAGTCTTCAGGCGGCGAATCTGTGTGGTTGGCGGTGTTATAACCACACCTCGTACCTCTTGAATGGTGACTGGCGGCAATGCCGTCACCGTGAGTGCATATTGTTCTGCATCATTGGTTAACTTGTAAGCATCTAAGCAGGCCTCTAATTGAGCAAATCATGCCTCTGGGTCAGATGGAAGATATGTTGGTATCATGAATGTGAGTGACATGGTTTGTTTACACCCTGTCTGAGGAAACACTGGTGTGGAATGTGTGGTTACCACTTTAGTGCACTAATATCCACCAGACAAGGGTTAAGTAAACAAGTCTCCTGATCCTCACTCGCTCACTCGTATATAAAATTATTTTCTACAACTGTACAAACCCATGGAGAGTGTGAGTGGTCTCGTGCTTCTCTGCTTGTTGACCCCAGCTGGTCGGTTGCTTCTCTTCTGCTCCTCTGCCGTTTTTCCTCAACTCGGCAGTGTTGTAGGGAGGATACTGAAGTCGCTACAACCTGAACAGGAATAAAAGTTAGACTTGAAAGTCCCATTATTTTCTGAATTGCATATGGATCCAGTTTGAAAATTTGAACTAGAAGCAGTCGAAGCACAATTTTTTCCCCACTTTCACCGTTATCGTTATCAGTCTCCTGTAAGTTATTCTACTTGCACTCCTGATTTTGTTTACGAAAGCACACATTGTTTGCTTGGAAGACATTATGGTATTTTTTGGGGGAGAAAATGGTTCCGGTTTAGAGAAATGCAGGGCGCCCTACGGTACGGCAAGTCTCCCTCTAACATACACCTCTGTTTTAGTCGCCGCTCCTCTATCTACAGCACAACGCAACATCCTCAACATAAACTCGTCTCCCAACATCTGTACTGGTGCAGTCATCAAGAGGACAAACCCTTCATGCAAACTATCAAGAAGAAGAAATAATAATCCAGGGACCACCAGCTGCCACTCTACTAATGCCTCTGAAACACACAAGCAGTTGCCAACTCAGTATGCCACATGACTCTAGTACCACCCCAAAACACTAAATTATGTAAAGTTGTGTGTAGCAGTTTTTTTTTTTTACCTGTTTAGTATTTCTTAAAATATACTATTGTATGAATATAGAATACACATGTCGTCTGAAGTACTGTACTGCCAAAGCCATGAACATTATCGCTGAATATTCACATTTAAAGCAGTAAGTTGGCAACTTTCTCAGTTTCTCGCATGAATGGACAGGAAGCTGGAAGAAATAAGAAGAAATGGAAGCTCCTGGAAATATAATATCCACTTGCGTTGGATATTATATTTCCAGATTCGTACCAGTAAAATTCGGCCAGTTTACTTTTTAAATATATAAAAACTCAAATATTGAATTTTATAAAAAATATTTTCCTACCACGATCAACCATCACCAATAAGCTCTCGTCTCTTCCTCCCTCCCCCCTCCCCGAGGTTAAAGAAATGCTTTGCCAGACTTGTGGCTTTATTGATCAAACTATTACAGTACAGTTACATCCTTACAACTATCAATTGTCCACGTTTATGTATCGTCGACGGTATCCACTGATACCATACACATTTTTACTACACCGCCCCCCGCCATTCCATCATCCACTTGCAGAGGTGCCGGAGCGGTGCTCCTGTTCCACTGATTATCACATTCCTGTAAATAAATCCTGTATTTTAATCCATTTCCACAAGGTTGTATTGCAAAGGAGCATGAGGGTTCCATGATGCGTAGAAGTAATGTAGTCTATTTCACACTGTGAACATTATGGCTAGTATTTTCACCTTCCGAAACAAGGAAAGAATCAAGAGCTTGTTGGTATCTTTTCCTGGCTGCATACTTGGTGTATATTAACTGAAAACTCGCACCCCAGAAGTGACTCGAACCCATACTGCCATGAGCACTTTGCAAAGGGGTCAGGTGTACGGGGGAAAGAAATGGTGCCCCTTAACCGGGGGATTGAAATCCATACTCCATGACCGTCACGACCAGACCCGAGGTTAATTCCCCATCATCCCGCCGGCACACTAATGGTAATCTTGGGCATGGTATTTTATCAAATCGCTTCATTCTTTGGGGCACACGTGAGGAACACAAGTGAAGATTGGTGTATAGTTTGAATTCCACCAGGGAACGTACCTCTGAGCTTAGTTATAGCGAGGAGGGAAGTGCAGCATCCAATAAGGTGGGTTAGAGCAAGACGGAAGATGGAAATACCCGCTGTACAAATCAGACTGATGGTGATAACCCTAACCTGGTAATGACCTAACTTAACGATCGGATACCAGTGATTTAGACTCTAAAAACTGACATTATACCGAGGGGTGTTCAGTGCACGGCTTACACCACGCTGCTGCATCCCAGGTCAACACCTCTGCCAGATCATTTCACCAGCTGTGCCAGCTGCCATTCCTGTACCCAGTGAATATGGAAGACTCATTTTCTGGACTCGGTTATGATGCTAGCAGTGTGGACGAGGCTAGTTAGTGGTAACGGATGTTTGCAGTGTCAGCAGCTCTCCCTGCGAGGCGATGGCGTGTGGTGAACCATGGAGAAGTTGAGGGATCATTGGCCTCACTTGAAACAGTTCGTGCCTGCCCTATACATACAGCTTCATCTCCCAGCTAATTTTTATCAGAGCTTTGTCCGTGGTGTTGGCACAATAACGAGCGTAATTGTGTGAGAAGATTGTGACAATTTCTTTTTCGTGATATGCCTATACATTTGATAGTGTAGGTTTTATACATTGTCCTCTATTCTGGGGAAAATGAGTGAAAGATGCTATACTAAACGTAGAGGTTTTGATTGTGTACATGTCCGTGTCCTCGCTGTACTTGCACTACAAGAGGTTTTGTTCTCTTGCAGGTGTACCAGATGTGGCCATAGGGGACCGATCGAGCGACAAGCTGCAGAACGCCATATATTTTGTCATAGATGGAGACCAGGTGAGATGGCAAACTTTTACTTGAATAATGTAAAATGCCGAGGGTATAAGTTTCTATAACTGATGCTATAGTTTGACCTTCAAAATCTTATCGTAATTTTAATGCAAGTTTTGCTGGTGTTTCTCGGCTCTAATGACAAACTACATTGACTAAAATAAATTACATATTACCTTGGGAATTAAATGTTAAGAAATTTGTTTAAAAATGTTATTGGATTTCATGACTGGGCTATTATTATATTTTGTAGGGTAGGAAGAGACTTATTCTGGGAAAGGGGAATATCAGGTTATACGTACATCCAAAGTTGTGTACAGTATTTTCTGTTGCACGGTTCCAGATTAATTTTCTCTTGTACTCAGATGGACGTCTTGGAGTTGCTGACGCAGCAGGGTGAAGACCATTGGCTTCCATGGTAACAAAAACGACCATTATTGCACATTGCCTGTGAATGGGGCGCTTGGAACTGTGTGAAGCACCTGGTTCTGGAGAGGTAAGCCTCCAGAGAATTCACTTCTGATATTGTCTAGTGTTTTATTGACTGAAAATTAACGAGTTGAGTGACCTAAAAATATAAATGAGGAATGGAGAACAAATTGTTTGTATGCACTACCATGTTATTGGGAATTGATTAAATTTCACATATGGGTTGGGTTAGTTATTTGCAATGGTGTACTGTAGTCCAGAATTCTTAATGGTTCTGATAGAATTTGCTACAGGGTTAAAAAAAATAAAAACTGGCAAGCACGAATGCAGTTTTCAAAAACTACTAAATGGTTATATGGTTCCAAATTTCCACAAATAAGGTCTTGTGGCTAGTGTTACAATTACTCCACTTTTTAGTATTTTTTTTCCTTGATATGAAGCCTGCCATTAGCAATACCATTGTGGGAGTTGCTGAGGTTGTAGAGCACCAGTGCTGTACCTGCTGGCTCTCCTACACATACTCTTGCTCTAATGCTAATTTACTCGCTTCTCTTTGCGGCAATTTTAAGTCGGTGAAGTTGATTGTTAATTTGACTTCTTGCCTTCTGTCGTTCAAATATTCATATTGAGGAACTGCCTAGTAGACTAAGCAATAATTGTTCTACCACCTGGCGAGGTTGGCGCGCGCACAAAATGGCTGGTTTCTGCTCTTCATTAATGTCTTAAATTAAAAAATAATTATTTCTAGTTGCAATAAATTATCCTGTAGGTGAATAACGAGTGGGCCTAGGTTTTGCCGAGGTTAGTTTATTTTATATTAGTGGGCATGGCATTTCATTTAACTGGGCAGAGTTTTTGACAGATCGGACGAGATCAACCAGTGCTACGATGAGTACTACCCTATTCATCAAGCTGCTCTCCGTGACCTCGGATTTCTCGATCTGCTTATCCAGTGCTGCGCAGAAACCACCGTGTGCGCATACACGCATCAGATGACCGTTCTCCACTTAGTTTTCCTCCTGGGTACAAAGAGTGCCGAGGACACGTTGGAGACTGAAATTGTTCCTACAGCACGGCCTCAAAGAGCGCACAAACACTGCCGACTCTCAGGAATACACCAGTCCACGCTCTTATAGTCAGGTAAGTACTGTAGTAGTAGTGTGCACTTGTGTTAAAGGTCCACGTGGTCAGGAACGCTATTCATTTTCCACTTCCTCCTCCTCCCTCATTTCCCCCTCTGCTTGCTTTGTTCCCTTTTTAGTTTACCGTTGTACAGTTATGCTTGGAGGCAACTCTCTCGTTCTTGAGTAGCAAGCAAGCCTTTTTCGACAGATAGGAAGTGTGGATTTTGGTCCACCACTAACCGAATGTGTGTACAGCTACATCCTGTGTGTTCCCCTTATTAAAGCCACTTGAAGATCGCACTTAAAGGGCCCCGGCACACAATTGATAAACCATTTATGAACTTTCCTCAAACAAAAGTATTTTTGTGCATAATCTACATGGTAAATGTTCCAACTTTTCCTGATGGATCAACATCATAATGTGACTTAGAAAAAAAAGCAAATTAGTGTTATTTAAAATGTCACCAATTATGGGCTCGGAACGGCATATAACGTTAATTTTCTACTGTATAAAATTTAGTTTGAGGGTCTAGTTTACTGTAAAAAAAAAATCGATGGCCTTCAAAATATGCTCTAAATTTTGACACAAATATACAACTCCCAAAGTTATGGTTTTATAAATAAACGATCAATAGAAACCTTAGAAGCAAGAACTTTGCACATACAGTATGTAAAAATGGTGATAATTGCTCGGACTGAATTTGTTATTCGTGTGAAGTGTGTACTTCACAAGAATACTTTATTCAGTGTGAAGTACAAAGTACATTGTGGTTCCCAAATTGATAATCCTCTAAAATCAGAAACACCTTTAATGCATTTTTGATGGTTTATTACAGCCGAGATCCACAAGATAGAGGTTGTACCATCAGTGCGCGACAGCCCGACCCCAGATGACACAGGGGGATAACTCACATTGTGCAGGGTGCCTCATCAGTACCAGGAACCCCACAGGAATCGTGGCCACCGGCAGCTACTAATACAGTCACTAAAAGTCCGTCCTCGGAAATGGAGGCTTTCATACCTCCCACACTGAGGTAGCAACAGACTGCCAGGTAAATAATTTCTCAGAGATGAATCATATTTTTCCGCAGTGGAATCTATTGAGTTTAGTCCGAATGTGGGAAACGGTTGATGGAGCACGTTCAGTTATGCTTGAAAGATTTAGCCACAGTATAATATGATTTAGTCATCAAAAATGTTTTGCAAAATTCCGCCGAAGTACCTAACTGGTACCCAAACCGACACTTGAGCTTTTCCTGGAGCACCATTTAAGGTGTCTGGAAGTCAAATGAACAAATCCACAAGGGCCGTAATGAGGGTTCGAACCTACGTCCGAGAGGATCCCAGACGCGCCTTAATCGACTGTGCCACAACATGGTTACAAGAATTGCAACCATGAGTGGTACTGCCCTCACACGGATCCTGAACTGACACAAATCAGGGGTTTACACAGTTCCCCCCCCCCCATGCACCCGGGCTCTGTCAGTCGTTTTCACCCTTCATATTTGTCATTAAAGATGCATTCGACAGTAGCATGGGGGTAATAACATTTCAATCGCATGGATCCTTGGATATGATCACTTTAAGCTATTCTCTGCCCATTTACTCTTCAATTGGAACAGCTGCTTGATCAAGAGACCTTGAGATCTGCTCGAGCCATTTCAAATTGCTATATAGATGCACAAGTTAAAAATGGTTAACAAATCATTAGGGGGGTGGGGGGGGGGAGTTGCATATAATAATTTATTTACAAGCGGGTACAATGGGGTTTGTGAGATTACATGAGTTTGGTATTCTTACATTCTTGCAAAGCCACTAACACGAATAGAATTTTGGCCAGAATGAGAATTGGATTACGATGATTGCAACCCGTCCTCCTGTTTAGATAGTACCTATTGTGACGATCGTCAATAGTCAGAATTCGTACGTTCTTAACTTTTAGATACACTAGAAGTATACTGACTAGTAAGGAATTCTTTTAAAATAAAGAAGCTAAAACACACACTTAAATATTCCTAGGCCTAGTATAGCGCACACATGTACTTTATTAGGCCTCGGATAGTGTGCATTAGGCCTAGACATGTTAGGTTAGTTAAGTTTGTCAAAGCAGCACAAGTAAAAAATAGTTTTCCCGGTTTGTCCAACTCTTGTTCAGATATCTACGTTCTAATTTCGTTGTTCGTTGGTATATATTATTATAAAGAGTGTAAGGTTTGGTGTTGCTTAATTTGCACTATTTTTAAGCCTTATTTCCAGAAGTGTATACTTTTTTTTTTATTTTTAACTTAGCCGATTCTGATCTGTTAATGAGCGTTTCCTGCTGAATCTGTCTTCATATATATGCCTGTTACTTAATCATTCTAAACAATTCATTGTTCTACAAAATTAAGTACAGAACTTGGAGATCTGTTTATGATTTTTTCCATGCTCCAGATGCTCTCAACGACACGTGTCACCAGCGGGAGTTTGGTCACTAGCCTATTACCCAGCACCATGCCGCGCCTCACCCGCTCCCCGCCTGCCTGCCGCACCTCACCCGCTCCCCGCCCGCCTGCCTGCCTGCCTGCCGCGCCTCGCCCGCTCCCCCGCCCGCCTGCCTGCCTGCCTGCCGCGCCTCGCCCGCTCCCCGCCCGCCCGCCCGCCTGCCTGCCTGCCTGCCGCGCCTCGCCCGCTCCCCGCCCGCCCGCCCCGCCCGCCTGCCTGCCTGCCGCGCCTTTTTTTGGCGAGAGGACCCCTGTGGACTGTAAGATCCACAGGTAACTTTTTTTTTTTCTGGAAATTCGTGTGTAACGCTTGGGGGTTTTCAGGTAAATTTGTCAGTCACAGATTTTAGAAGTAAGGATTTCTTATGATGAAAATAATTTCAGAGACTTAGAAGTTTGTTAAGGTCTTATGGGTAGAAATAGCAATCTGTCGCCTCACCTGTGTTTACTTTAGACGTCAGCCAGACACGGCCTTCAGGTCACCTCGGTAATCGTATCTTATCTTCTCCATAATAATATCTGGACCGTCCCTCTCTCTCTCTCTCTCCTCCTTTTTCCTTACAGCTATTTTCAGAGTTTCAAATAGTCATAGAAGTTTATTTATATGTTTATGACCGAATTTGTAAAAGGACCATTTTCAGAGAATATTGTCTTAGATGTTTTGTTAAGGAAAACAGACCACTTATCCATAACATTTAGTTTTATATCCATTTACGGCTATTTCACCTGTAAAGACCAAAATTAGTCAGAGACAGTTTTAAGCTGAAATTTCATCAGAGTCCTGTAATCTGCGAAAATTTGACAGAGTCCATTTTATACCCAATTTTCGTCAGAGTCTACTTTGAGAGCAAAATTAGTCAGAGACAGTATTTAGCTCATATTTCATCAGAGTCCAATTATCAACAGAAATTCGCCAGAGTCTACTTTGAGAGCAAATTTCATCAGTGTCCTGTAATCTGTGAAAATTTGACAGAGTCCATTTTATACCCAATTTTCGTCAGAGACCATTTTATACCTAAAAATGAACAGAGTCTACTTTGAGAGCAAAATTAGTCAGAGACAGTTTTAAGCTCATATTTCATCAGAGTCCAATTATCAACAGAAATTCGCCAGAGTCTACTTTGAGAGCAAAATTCGTCAGAGACAGTTTTAAGCTCATATTTCATCAGAGTCCAATTATCAACAGAAATTCGCCAGAGTCCACTTTGTGAGGAAAATTCGTCAGAGACAGTTTTAAGCTCAAATTTCATCAGAGTCCAGTTTATACCGAAAATTCGCCAGAGTCTACTTTGTGCCAAAATATTCAGAGTCCAGTTCATGATCGAAATTAATCAGAGTCCAATTAAAGACCCAAATTTGACAGAGACCACATTTTCGCTACTAGCAGTCCAATCCCCCTGAAATTTTAAACAGTCATATTTCAGACGTAGTAAATAAGATCAAGTCAGTTACTGAGCTCCAGCTCTTGTCCCCCACCCTCTTCCACCCTCAAGTCTTTGTAAATAAACCATCAATTTCCCCGAAATTTTTACCCTCTGTATTTCAGACATAGTAAATATGAAGTAAAACAAATATAAAACTCTAGCTCTTGTCCTCTGTCCAAGTTCACTCATGTAAATTCATTACTATCAGTCCAAATCCCCCTGAGATTTAAACACCCAACTACATTTTCAGACATAGTAAATAAAAACCAGTTCAGTTATCAAGTTTCAACTCTTGTGCCCCAGCTTAGTTCATTTGTACAAGTTCTTTATTTTCCAACTAAATCACCCTGAGATTTAAAATCACCTTATTTTCTAACGTAGTAAAATTAATCTGGACATTAGCCAAGTTTCCATTTCCTCAGCCTTAGATCATCAGACATAAATATATTCAATCAAGTCCATCTCCAGCCTAACTCTTATCCGAGTACACACATAACCCCAACCTGTGTAATTATCTTTCACCCCCTCCCACCTTCCTCCATCTCATCTCACCTTACCCTTTCCCTCCCTTACCTTCTCATCCCCAACGTATCCAAACCTTCAATAATCATACTGTATTTGCATATTTTCTCTATATTCAGCTGTGTTCTTCACATTTTGTCCATGTTTTCTGTGTTCATTCCATGTTCTACAAATGTTCACAGCATGCTCAGTTCAATTCTTTTCACCTGTTTTTTCTCATTTTTTCTGTAATCTTTCTCTTAGTCTCATTATGTTCTCTACAAATTCTAGTCATATTTTCTATGTACATCATATGTTCTCTGTATAACTTTTATACTCAATATTCATGTTCTCAATGTTCTTAGCTTGTTCTTCGCATGTTCAGTGTTCATTCTTTGTAATCCCTATTCTCCTTATCATGTTTTCATGTTCTCTGTAAGTTCATATTCCCAGCATGTTCACTGTATTCATCAACTTTTCTTACATATGTTCTTTGCCATGTTCCCCATATGTTCTCTGGGTTTTTCCCCTTACATGTTATTTAACGTTCCTTAACTAAAAAAATCTTTCGCCAATCAACTAAAACATAGTCACTT